TGCTGCAAGTATTACAATTTACCTTTTTATTACAATTTACGTGGTAACAAATACTATTCCTGTTGTTTTTTCTGAGTTAAGGGAGAAGCCCCATTTGTCAGCCCATTGTTGTATTTTATTAAGAGATTTTTGGAGTAGATTTTGGACCATGTTCATGCTTTTAGTGCGGATCCAGATGGCTCCATCATCCGCGAATTTTGATGTGTTTACTTTAGGGGATAGGCCCTCGAATAGATCGTTTATCATTATATTGAAGAGGGTGGGGCTGAGGATACTGCCCTGTGGAGTACCATTTTCTACGGGACATTGGTCCGATAGAGTTTGGTCTATACCCACGGTTATTTTACGATTGTTTAGGAAGTCCTGGATGTAGTTTATTATCTGACCTTTGAGTCCTATTTTTTTAAGTTTTTGTATTAGCCCATCGTGCCATACCATGTCGAAAGCTTTAGAGAAGTCTAAGAAGATGGCTGTGGTATATTGTTTATTTAGTTGTCCTGTCTTAATATCTTGTTCTCGTCGGGCGAGGTTATCTAGGGTTGAGCGGCCAGGAGTGAAACCGCTTTGATCTGGGTTTATGATGTTATTTTGGGTTAAGTAATGTTGTAATCTATCTTTAGCCATTGATTCCATTACTTTACATAAGTTTGAAGTTAGGGATATTGGTCTATATGAGTTAGCTTGATTAGCTGGTTTATTAGGTTTAGGGATTGGTATGACTAGGGCCTGTTTCCAGGGAGTAGGAACCTGTCCGTTTAGGTAGATGAGATTGTATAGTAGTGCCTGGAGTAGTTTTAGGGGGAGTTTTTTAATTATTTGGTAAGAAGTTAGGTCTAATCCTGGGGCTGTGCCCTTTTTCCTGTTTTGGATTACGTAGAGGAGCTCCTCCATTGTGTAGGGTTGATTTATTCCTAGATTGTTATTGTTTGGTTCTTTTGTGGGTTTGTTTTCTGTTTTAAGTTTATCTTGGAATTTTTTACTGAAGTTGGTGTTACTGCTAACGGCCGAAAAGTGGTTGGCGAGATTATTTGCTTTTTGGGCGGGGTTGGTTGAGTTGTCAATGTAAGGTTTTTTTTTATGTCGTTTTAAGCCTCTGATGGCGTGGATTTTGCGCCAGACCATTCTGGCATCTGTACGGTTATTTATACCTTCGCAGAATTTTTTCCAGTCTCTACTTTTGGCTATTTGGACTAGTTTTTGAACCTGATGGTTTAGTTCGTGGGCTATGTTTAAATATTTGTAGTCGCGTTTTGTTTTATTGAAGGCTGATTTACGTTTTCGTCTAGTCTGTTCTATTTCCTCATTCCACCATGGTACCGTCGGTTTGCCTGTCTTAGATGTTTTGAAGGGGATGGAGGTTTTGGCTGCGTTTATTATATAGTCTGTTAGGTTTTTACAATAGGTTTCTGGATCATTATTTTCTATTTCGTTTAAGTTATCTTCGTTGCAGATATCTTGGAATTGGTCCCAGTTAGCTTTATTGTAATGGAATTTTGGTTCTTGGTTTTCTGTTTGGATTGGTACGTTTGTATTTCCTATGGTTATGTTTATGGGGAAGTGGTCACTACCTAGCGGGACGTCGTGCACTTCCCATTGAGTACTTTGGGCTAGATCTGCGGTGCATATGGTTAGGTCGATAGCCGACATTTTTTGGTTTATCTTATCGTACCTCGTGGGTTGGTTGCTATTAAGGAGTACTAGGTCGTTTGTTTCTATCCATTCGGAGATTAATTTGCCATGATTATCTATTTTATCATCTATGCTCCATGTAGGATGGTGAGCGTTAAGTCTCCTAGGAATATAGTAGATTTATCGCTTATTTGGAGTAGTTTGTTTAGATCCTCAGGTTGGACTTTTTGTTCCGCCCAGTGGTAAATATTTATGATGTTTATGTTTCGGTTATTTAATGTGATTTTAATGCCGTTGGCTTCTAGGTTTGGCGTGCCTATTTTTATTTCTTCGTAAGTTATATCTTCCCTGATAAATATGATTAGTCCTCCTGCGGCTCTTCTTGTTTTCGGTTTAGCTCTGTCAGTTCTAACTGAGTTGTAGATAGGTAGTGTGAATTTGGATTTTTTTGAGAATTTGGTTTCCTTTATACAAGCAATGTGAGGGCCTTTATTTAGTTTAAATTTAGTTTTTAGTTCATGGCCGTGGGAGGTGAGTCCGTTGGCGTTCCACTGAAAAATATTTAGTCCTTCGAATATTGGGTTCGGGTGATTGGTGATTTATTTTTTATTTTTTATTTTATTCGGTGAGTTCTTTTAGATGGAGGTTAAAGAGGAAGAAGGGAAGATCGGTTAATTTTAGATTGAAAGCTACTTTGTGGAAGGATTTCATGCTAGCTTTTGGTGAGTTTTGACTATGCATGTATGCTAGGAGTAAGGTGAGGTTATTTAGGTTTTGGGTGTTGGCTGGTTGGGGAGTTTGGTTTGTTTTAGTTGGAGTAGTGTCTATTGTTTCCTCAGTAATGGAGAAATCTTCGTCATCGGTTAGATTAGGTTTAGCTGATTGAGTTTCCATGGGGGAGGCATGTGATGTGGAGGATTGTGAAGGTGTTTGTGGGATGGGTGTAGCTGATGATTTCTTAGTGTTTGTGTTTTGTTGTTGTGCTTGCTTGTGGGAGAGTGTTGTTACCATATGGGCTGTAGGGTGCTTGGATGAGGGTCGTGTTGTGGTGGTCATTTTGAGGTTTGTTTTGCATGCGGGGGTTGATGTTTTGGCTATGGGAGGGTTCGTGGGTTGGTTGAGTGGCTGCTTGTGTGTGTGAGGTGGGTGCGGTTTCTCGGTAGGGGGCCCAGACAGAGCTGTCGGTTATGGGTGTGGTGTTTGGTGTAGGGAGGAACTTGTTTAGATGCAGGTGTAGCAAATTTTCGTGTTTGGATTTTAGCCGTGTCTATGTTTATGTGTTTGTTCGCCTGCTGGGTGAGTGTGTGTCTGTGCGGGCATTGGTTTGAAAGTGAAGTATGTTGGGTGGATTTGCAGTGGATGCACCAGGGTGTGCATGTGCCTGGGCAGTCTGTTTGTGCGCATTTTTTACATTTAGTTTTACGGTATGTGCATTGGGAGGCAGTGTGGTTGTATTTGAGGCACTTTGTACATTGCTTAACCTGCTTTATATAGGGTTTGACTTCTAAGTTGGTGTGGGTCCGAAGGATGTGTGTTTGGGGGCTTCAGCAGTCTTTTTGAAGTTGATTATGACAATGGAGGTTGGGACCGTTTTTCCGTTTCTAGTTGAGGTTATTCTACGCCTGCTGGTGATTAGGGGTTGAGGGTTTTGGTCTTGGTTAGCTTCTAGAGAGTATAATTGTAAGTCTTCAGTTGTTTCCCTTTGGTTAACCCTAATTACGCCTCGTGTATATTGTTGCCAATTAGGTGTTTTGTTTGATTACCGTGACGTGGAATATTTGAGTTATTTTATTTGCTGCGTTGTAAGATTCTCGGTTAGGGAAGATTATCTGGTATCCTTTGTTGGCTTTTTTAATATTGTTGTAATTTATTTTTTCTCTTTTAAACCAAAGTCCTACTTTATCTGCCGAAAGTTCTAGTGAGAGAGTGGTGCCTGAGCCTGCTGAGAAGAAGCAGAATATATATAGTAAGTAGATGATTAACAGTAACAACAATTGCATACATGAGTGGGATAACATTGGCTGGTGTTGGCAACAAAGGGATGATGCTGTCACAACACGATGGAAGGCAATGGGACATGAAGCCAATAAACAGGATAAGTGATTATTGCTTGATGAGTTCATAGTAGGCGGATGGGATGAAATAACCTTGATCTCTGTTGATTGGTGGCGGTGAATGTGGACTGCTTCTGTTAGTTTTCTTTTCGTGAAATCATGGAGAGGATTTGGACGTTGTCCCAGTTGATGCTGTGATGTACCCTCCCCCCCACTCAGACACAATCCTTATCGTATTCCCTGATAATATAATCTCTTCAATACAGAACAGACTATGACATGATAATCACCATCATTATTACGGTGAATTACGGGTTTGAGTTTATTTCATACATGTATCGTATAACCTGCTATAAGTCCTAATAAGAGATAAGATTATCCCAAATTAAAAAAAAAACCTTCTTTCACGTGCAATGACCTTACGTCTAAATTGATGAAGACTTGTTCTTACGGGGGTAGTCATCTGACTGCCGATCATTAGTCGGGTGGAACCGGATTGAAAACTCAATGATGATGTTTATGGCTAAACAGACAGTTCTGAAAAGCACACCTTGTCACTACGCCCCTCATGGGTTATTCTCCCTGTAGTGTTTTATTGTACGATAAACAACTTCAACCTGTTGTTTATTTCTTAAATATATTCGATAGTCACAGGGGCATCGATTTAATGAAATACCCAAATGACCATAGTACCATGGCATGGGTTACACACTACAAACTGTCAGTGGCTCAATTCTGAGAATGCTATGCTGGACTTTCCCTGTGAAGAATGTGGTCAGAATGTTCCCAGTAGCAGGAAAGTATAACTTTCCGCATTCATTCAGACTCGATTATTTACAGAACTCGTCATATAGCTGGAATATTGATGAAATTGAGTGAGGGAGGCAAATAACGAGTCAAAAAATGAGTGATGTTATATTTTCTAAACTGGATGAACCAAATCCCATTTCTCAGCAATTGTTAGAATGACAAGCAACAAGTCCATAGTTTACATTTATTACAATATGTACACTGCTCTGACTGCATTCAACACCAAAACAACATGGTCTGACTGTGCATGGAACCTGCCTGGCAGGACGTGAGTGAGTGAGTTGGGTTTAACGCCGCTTTTAACAATATTCCAGTTAAATCGCGGTGTGTCAGCTTAATGTGGGAGAAAAGCCCGAAGTGATGCAGGTCTCAGACGTTTACCACTTCGGTGAAACCCACGGGTATGGTGCTGACAAACCTAGAAACATAATCGGGGCGAACCGGGATTCGAACCCACAATCATAGGTTTCTGGCGTGCCCAAGGGACGCAACTCTGCACAGAGAACCTCGGCGCCTTAGACCACTGGGCGACGGGAGCCAAGTCGTTCTGGAGGAGTCACCGGGCTCACATTCTTATTGATAACAAACTGGTCACAGTTCCAACAGTCACCGGAGGACAAAGAATTGACTCAACCCTGGCATCCAAGAGGAAGTTCGGCCTGCAGTAGGTTTTATCACCACTTTGAACAGTATTTCAAAGATATCAACAAAATCATCGAGTCTGACCACCCGATCGAATTTGGTGAGCTCTTGCGTTGGGACATATTGTAACCTGGGTGTACACCTAACGGGGCCAGTGTCAGCACTGCTGAGTTTCCATCCAACATTCTCTCTTTCAAAGGCTGTATAAAGGCTATGTTTTGACTTGGACCAGTGTCACGATTGCTTCTGTCTCTTCCAGAATCGTTTGACATCGTCATGTCCCCCTCGTGAGACAATCATCACTCTTTTACTTGGATTGTCCCAGACGAGGACGTTCAGATCCTGAAATAAATATACATCTCTTACAGCACTGACTTAATGCGTGGGGGAGGTTATTGTACTTATGTAACGACAAGAGCGTAAGGGTGCTAGCCCACTGAGATTCTCATGACGCCACAGCTTAACATGGGCAAGGCAGGGTAGAGAGTGAGTGAGTTGGGTTTAACGTCGCTTTTAACAGTATTCCAGTTATATCACGGCGTGTCAGCTTAATGTGGGAGGAAAGCCCGAAGTGATGCAGGTCTCAGACGTTTACCACTTCGGTGAAACCCACGAGCACGGGTATGGTGCTGACAAACCTAGAAACATAATCGGGCGAACCGGGATTCGAACCCACAATCATAGGTTTCTGGCATGCCCAAGGGACGCAACTCTGCACACCGAATCGCAGCGTCTTGGATGACTGGGCCACCCGTGCCCCCACACTGCACAGTGCCATCTTTGTATGATGCGATCGGGGATCGAACCCATGACCTTCCTCTACTGACCCACGTTGAATATTTTGTGCATTAATAATGAGTACAGAATTAGTAAAATCTAAATATTTTGTACATTTGTATACTTATCCTGCATTACTCCTTAATGCATTCACTGCTTACTTACGACAACCAGAAGGACAGCGCTGCGAAGGTCCTGGGTGAAGAAATAAAGTTGTTGTTCTCAAGTCCCAATCAGTGGCCTTCCGTCGCTGTCCTGTGACCTTGATGACACCTAAGGTCATCTTCACATCACTGCCTGTCGCCCAAGCTCTTAGAAAAACATACTTTTGAGGTTTCTGAAGCCAAAGTGGGGAGGCAAGTCTAACGACGGGTGGGCCTTAAGCGTAGTAATGCAGGATAAGTATACAAATGTAAAAAATATTTAGATTTTACTAAATTTTTTACTTATCCTGCATTACTCCTTAATGCATCTGTATCGGACGGTTTGGAGGTGGGTAAACCTTCAGAATACAGAAACCTCAATAATTCACACCCTGCAATACGACACCAGTTGGTCGATAAACCGTGAAGCGGAAAAGTTCAGACAAAAACGCCATTACGGTAGGGTTGTTCAAAAATCAAAAAGAGAAATTCCCTATACACGCTTAGTAATAAAGAAAATAATAGCTATTCAGCTAATTCTTTACTTACTGCGTCATAGAGCCGTCGCTGACAAACAAGATTGTCTAATATTCTTCCACTATTGGCGACTGAGTGACTGCACATGGAAGTTGACTGGCTCTGTATAGGGCGAGTTCATTATTTGCGTCAGTGGTTGGCAATCTGCAGGATAACAACCAGAGGGCCAAACTTCGAACGTCTTCGACATCCTCGAGAGTCACAACGCGAAGGTTATGACTAACGAAAATATGTGTCGAATCTCCAGAAATATCCTTCCGTGATTATTCCAAAACCACAATTGCCGTGTTGAGCCCTGGTAAGGCTGACACCTTGAGATCTTGAGGGTAATTCGCTCTCGGCGAGTTCCGTTTGATGATCTCGTAGGCCTGAAGGATTACTGCGCGTAACCATAGAGATATGGTGTTTGCGATTATGCGACTAACTTCTGTCGTGGACGAACCACGCCTAGTCTTGGAGCGTCGAATGAAAACTCGAACTGCTCGCACCGAGCCCAGGAGAACTTCACCATGTACGATTCCCACAATAGTCGATATCGGTGGGATGGTGAAGGAACGGTCGGGTTGGCCTGGTAGTAGATTTTAGCAATAAAATCCCAGCATAATCCTAGATGTCCCGTTCCGTGCGTCCCATGCTCAAAACGGATCCGGGTTGAGTCGATCACATGTAGTTCGCTCACCCGTACCGCCATTGCTAATGCCAAGAGAAACCATTGTTTCCTTGGTGATGTCCAAGCTCTTCACAGCGATAGCACGTTCGCGGAGCTCTCTATACTATACCGAGAGTGTAACGAAGGTGTCACGTGCTGGGAAGGAGCTTGAAAATGAGGACGCAATGAGGGGCTCGAAGGGGGCCCTCGCAAACCTCGAAGTACCACGTTCAAGTCCCAATCAGGTGGCTGGAACTTGGCCTTCTGATCCTCAAACCTGAATGAGCATAATATGGCCTGTAGTTCCGTGACCTTAATCACACTGTGATTTTCCGGAAACGGCCAACACTAAGATAATTGCAGCCAATTACGTAGTAATGGTGCTACCTTCCAAGTGTTTTGGGGTACGCAATGTAGGAGGTATTCCTCTAGGAATTGTGACGCAATGTAGGAGGTATTCCTCTAGGAACTTCCCTGTAAAAAGTCTCAAGTGATCCCCACTTGTCATCGTCGTCTCTGGGAGAGTAACGATGAACTAAAGCTATAGCTTTGCTGCCCGTGTCGAAATAACCCTTCGCACTTAAACGCCTTTTAAAGACGAACCATGCGTGCAGACGTTGGGTGAGGCAATTTTCTGTTAAGGGTGGATGAGTAGGTTGGACCACTGTGAGGGGAAGTGAATCGTTTTAGATTTTTCCGAGCTTGACGAACTACCTTCTCGCCGGTTACCAGGGTGCGACCAAAGGAGAGATCGAGATACCTTGTCTCCTTGATCCCCTGTAGCACCTTGGGAAGTAAAAGTGGTGGCAGAAGAGTTTTAGTTCTTTGCCCTTCCCAAGTGATACTGAACTCGTCCACCGCCCAAGTCTGCGGATCCGGCAACGGGGAGATATACGTCATGAGTTGGTGGCCTAGGCAAGTAATAAACAAGTCAATGTTTGGTTGCCTGAATTCCTGAAGCAGTAACTGGAATGCTTCTGTGAGAAATTTCCACTCGGTGGGAGCCACCCTGTCTGGACGTGATAAAGTATCGGCCAGTATGTTTCTACATCCGGGGATGTGCTGAACTATGAACCTTAGTCACAGCCGATCCACTAGATGGAAGAAATCTGAATGTCCTTAGAAGTGGAGAGTGGGAGTGTGTTGTTCCCCGATTGCACAGGCACCACACCGCAGTGCTGTTGTCTGTGGATATAGCGAGTCGGGCTAACTGTAGTTGATTCTGCCAATGTCATATAGCCAGAATTAAAGCTTCCAACTCCAAGTTGTTTATGTGCCACTTCCATTGTGCGCCGGGCCATAGCCCTGAGCTTATCTGGTCTTGTAAGTGAAGACTCCACCCCTGAAAGGGGACGTCCACAAACAGGTGTGTATTCGGGGAAAACCCGAATAAACAGACTCCGCAGACATTCAGCGCCACAAATTGAGGCAAGGCTCTAGCTTAGTCGGTAGAGTGATGGCCTTGAGTGGATCCTGACTCCTGATGTAAGGGTTCAGGAAAAAAATGAATTGGTCGCAGTTGTAAGCGGTCCATGCTAGTTAACTCCTGTGCCGAGGTGATTAACCCTAGCAACACTTGCCACTGGCGAAGTGTGTGTGGTTGGTGTAGAGTAGATGACAAAAGAAGTAGAAACTTGTGCCATCTGTCCCTCGGTACAGATAGGATATCCTGGTCTGTCTTAAACAGGTCTCCTATGAACTGAAGTCAATGGGAAGGAGAATACTCCCGACTTCGCCTCGTTGATTGTCTATCCCAGTTATTGACATGTGTTGATGATACAGTAGATCGCCCTCCATCTACGACTCGAACCAAGTGTTCGTCATTGGCTTCATTACTCCTGTAAATAGCCATAAGTGTCACTGACATGTCAAATGGGAAATACTACCATTGGTAGAGAACCCCAATGAACTGGACCTGAAAAGTCTACGGTTGGGATGGATAGTCGAGACTGATGAAGAATCAAACGTTCGTTGAACACAGAGATTGTGGATCATTCTCATCTTGTCTGGGTCCTTCATGAGTACCAGGTAGGTGTGAGGATAAAACCCCGGAGTAAAGACTGGGTTGTGAACCCACTCTACAGCTCTTCTTACCAACAGTATGTCTATGTTGGATTTTCCCAATCAAACTGTGGTCAACGGTGGGGTTATCTCTACCCTTATACGGACACCATGATATAGTGCGATAAGTACGAAATCGTCCTTGAGACTTGTCTCTGCCACTCCCTTTCTCAGTAAGGGAATGCTGGTCTTCCCTGAGAAACGCGCGTCTAGGCTTATAATTCCCTGACTTGCCAGCCCGCTTGGACTTTCCAAGCTTTTTGGGAACTTGACGTGCGTGTCTGCGATCTGTTCGTTGAACAGGGGAGTAGATGACCAAGGTTGAAGTAATAGACTGCCCTTGAAACCAGCATCTCAGTTGGAAATGGCTATAAAGTCTTGGGTGTAACGGTAATCTCCGTCAGAACGGTCTCAAGATGAATTTTCCTGTGGTCAAACTGACGCTGTAGGAAAAACACCATAGTTTGGAAGTGATCTAATCAGATATGGTTATCCTCTAATAGATTCTGATCCACTGCAAACATTGACGATATTGGTCGCTTAAATCAGGGAGCAAATGTGAGTTTTGGAGAAGTCTTCCTCTAATGACCTCGTGGTGTCCCTCTTATTAACCCTGTTATCAGGGGAAGGCGTTACTGACACGAGATGGTCTGCTTCCCAATCGGGTACATGTGCTAAGCTGATCATGTGCCGGTTACGTAACCGAGTACACTGTAAGCCTTGGGCTAACGTCATTGTAGAGACCTTGAATGGTACGCAGACGCTGCGCTCAGCGCAGGTCTGGAATGTTGGAACAGCGCTAAGCTGATCGTGCGACGTTTGCGTAATAGGAGCGCTTTGGGTAGCAGTCAGACGCTGCGCTCGGCGCAGGTCTATGCTGGATATGTTGGAACAGCGCTAAGCTGATCGTGCGCCGCTCGCGTAATAGAAGTGCTTGGGTTGTAGTCAAGTGCTGCGCTCGGCGCAGATAAATCAGACACAAAGCTCAAAAGTATTGACTGGATCAAGGCTTGCGTCTAATCTACCCCCATCATAGCATCTCGATACGCTGGTGCTGTCGCCGACGTCACAGATTATCATACATGTATCTGGAAGTGTCCGGCGGCTGAAAAATAGGAGCAGTTACGATACTCACAAAATCCTCCGGTATTGTTGATTTCGGTGGATGGTGTACTTCTGCAATCACAGGCGTCATAATACCTGCCGATAATAACGGTTGGGTGGTAATGACAGAACCATATGTCATTCGCTATTCTGCGATAGTGACATTCCTCTCGTCTCACGACGGAAAAACTGCAAAATATGATTGTGAGTAATGTGCTTTTATATAGTAAACTCGTTGGATTAGAGATTTACACAAAAATTACATTTTGAATTTTGGCGAGCACATCTACGTGCATGCCTATGACCGTGGATAAAGAGCTTTGGGCGATTATTCCACGACAATATGTACACCACGCAAACATAAGTTACGCAATTAACCCATTGAAGAAATGGTACTGAAAGAATGCCGTAGAATTGAACAGTAATCTATCGGCAAAAATACGAATTGCAAGGGTATACAATATTTTTATATACGCAATTCAATGTAAACCAAGGCTATTTACATTTAGAGATTGGAGAGCACATCCGCGCGCAAACCAACCAAAGTGGATGATAATCTTTGTAAGGTTTTTTCCACGACAATTAGTACAATGCTCAAAGGTATGTTACGCAATTAAACCCTTGTTGAGACAATACTGGAAGAGTGCCGAAGAATTTGAACACTAATCTATCGGCAAATTTATGAGTTGCAAGGGTATACAATATTTTTGTATGGGCAACTCAATGTAAACCAAGGGTATTTATATTTTCATTTAGGGTTTGGAGAGCACATCTGCGCGCAAACCAAACAACGTGGATGATAATCTTTGTAAGATTTTTCCCACGACAATTAGTACCACGCTCAATCATAAGTTACACAATTACGCCATTGTTGATGAGGCGGTACTGGAAGAATGCCATAGAAATGAACAATAATCTATCGGCAAAAACTACGAGTTGCAAGAGTATACAAAGTTCATATACGCAACTCAATGTTAAATCAAAAATACCAACAAAAGACTATTTAATCGCATAAACATAGGTACGCAATAAAAGAATTGTTGAGCCGTAGATTTGATATTAATCTATCGGCAACCATATTTTTAACGAGTTGAAAAAGTATACAATATTTTAGTATACGCAACTCACTGTTACGCCAAAGCTAGTAGTATTTAAAAACATAAGAATATGTTATACATACGTAGCTGAGAATTGTAAACAATATGACTACCTTGGCAGGCAAACGATTGTAACACAATTCAAAATGGCGGCGAACAACAATATTTTGGCGGGAAAAAAGACAAGAGTCTTTTCACGCCTAATTAATTCACATAAAACTACACAACATGGTGAAAGTAATATGAAAAGAATACATCACCCATCGCAGATCAATTTTTAAGATTGTAGACAAACTGAAGGTCTAAAATTAATCCAAAAGGAGAGCTCCGCTTGGACACGTCCTAGCTGTGCTGCGACAAGCAGTGATGTGAAGATGACCTTAGGTGTCATCAAGGTCACAGGACAGCGACGGAAGGCCACTGATTGGGACTTGAGAACAACAACTTTATTTCTTCACCCAGGACCTTCGCAGGCTGTCCTTCTAGTTGTCATAAGTAAGCAGTGAATGCATTAAGGAGTAATGCAGGATAAGTAAAAAAATTTAATGATACTTGTCGGGGCAAATAGAAAGTATTTTTACTGCAAATAAATAAAAGGAACTCACTTGTGCATAGTCCCTGAGCAACTCAAAGTCATTTTGAGACAGGAACTGGTTGTACATGACACCATCAGTGAACTTGAAACGGTCTCTCTCAAGCTCCCAGAGGCGTACCTGGTCACACACCGTCAGGGGTATCACAGGGGTCTGGGGGCAGAAATCCTCGTGTATAATTCTAAGAATACTACCTAGTAACATCACAGCCATAAGTTCCTGTTTGGCTGTCATGCTCAATATAAAATTGCATTTAAATTTTCAACAGACATCCTCCTCACTGCCAAATAGTTGTAAGGGTAATCCTATCCCTAGCAGGAAACGCAACTGCACATGCACAAGATGATAAAACATCACGTCTTTCCTGTGTGTCCAGAGTGAGTGAGTGAGTTGAGTTTAACGCCGCTTTTATCAGTATTCAAAGTTATATCACGGCTGTCAGCTTGATGTGGGAGGAAAGCCCAAAGTGATGCAGGTCTCAGACGTTTACCACTTCGGTGAAACCCACGAGCACGGGTATGGTGCTGACAAACCTAGAAACATAATTGGGGCAATCCGGGATTCGAACCCGCAATCATAGGTTTCTGTCGTGCCCAAGGGACGCAACTCTGCACAGCGAATCACGGCGCCTTAGACGACTGGGCCACCCTCGACCCCGTTTGTCCAGATGTTAACCTTCCAAACATTTTGCTCTTCACATCTAAAAGTGTTTGAAAACAATCTTCACACTGTCTCTGCTAGATCTTCTTATAAAAGACTACTGCAGGACAAGCTGTAGCAGATTCACGACCTTATGGGTATAAGAAGCAAGATCGGTCTAGTAATTAGTTAGTAAATGTATTGTGGAAGATGGACTCTCTTGTTTGGTTATGTGATTGACAGCCAAATAGGAATTTATGGCTATGGTGTAATGGAGGTAAGGTATTCAAAGGAATTATACTTGTATACATTGTACAGTCACCGAGGTTCCTACAGTCACCCAGGTTCGTACAGTCACCCAGGTTCGTACAGTCACCCAGGTTCGTACAGTCACCCAGGTTCGTACAGTCACCGAGGTTGGTACAGTCACCCAGGTTGGTACAGTCACCCAGGTTCGTACAGTCACCCAGGTTAGTACAGTCACCCAGGTTCGTACAGTCACCCAGGTTGGTACAGTCACCCAGGTTGGTACAGTCACCCAGGTTGGTACAGTCACCCAGGTTGGTACAGTCACCGAGGTTCGTACAGTCACCCAGGTTAGTACAGTCACCGAGGTTCGTACAGTCACCGAGGTTCGTACAGTCACCCAGGTTAGTACAGTCACCCAGGTTCGTACAGTCACCGAGGTTCGTACAGTCACCGAGGTTCGTACAGTCAACCAGGTTCATACAGTCACCCAGGTTGGTACAGTCACCCAGGTTGGTACAGTCACCCAGGTTGGTACAGTCACCCAGGTTGGTACAGTCACCCAGGTTCGTACAGTCACCCAGGTTAGTACAGTCACCCAGGTTCGTACAGTCACCCAGGTTCGAACAGTCACCCAGCTTTGTACAGTCACCAATGTTTGTACAGGCTTGACAAGGCCGCGAATTTTAAAGTCATGCTTAAAAAGCCTTGATTTTTAGTGTCAACCTTGAAAATCCCCAGAATAGCTTGGAAAGCCTTGACAAAAACTTGCTACAATTATTAAAATTCATAACAGGCGACGTGATCTATTTCACTTGTTGGTTGTGAAAATAAATCCTGTCAGAAGATTTGTGATGTTTATACTGCTTTTTAGGTTTTACGACTACTATATAGTATGCTTGATTTAAGAAAATGTTGACAGGCAGAGGTCAATAACAAAGCCAGAAAGCCTTCAAAGTGACGGCTGAAAGCCTCGAACAGGTCTTAATTTTTAGTGTTTCATATCTGTAAAGATATCTGTATCTGGTAAAGTCAGGGAGGAGACACTGAAGTGATCAGTGCTGTCTGTCTACCGTAGTCGGACACGAGGCAGTGTTAGAGTCAATGAGGAGACACTGAAGTGACCAGTGCTGTCTGTCTACCGTACTCGGACACGAGGCAGTGGTAGAGTCAATGAGGAGACACTGAAGTGACCAGTGCTGACCATCTACCGTACACAGACACGAGGCAGTGGTAGAGTCAAGGAGGAGACACTGAAGTGACCAGTGATGTCCGTCTACCGTACACGGACACGAGGCAGTGGTAGAGTCAGTGAGGAGACACTGAAGTGACCAGTGCTGACCATCTACCGTACTTGGACACGAGGCAGTGGTAGAGTCAAGGAGGAGACACTGAAGTGACCAGTGCTGACCATCTACCGTACATGGACACGAGGCAATGGTAGAGTCAATGAGGAGACACTGAAGTGACCAGTGCTTACCATCTACCGTACATGGACACGAGGCAATGGTAGAGTCAATGAGGAGACACTGAAGTGACCAGTGCTGACCATCTACCGTACTCGGACACGAGGCAGTGGTAGAGTCAAGGAGGAGACACTGAAGTGACCAGTGCTGTCCGTCTACCGTACACGGACACGAGGCAGTGGTAGAGTCAATGAGGAGACACTGAAGTGACCAGTGCTGTCCGTCTACTGTACACGGACACGAGGCAGTGGTAGAGTCAAGGAGGAGACACTGAAGTGACCAGTGCTGACCATCTACCGTACACGGACACGAGGCAGTGGTAGAGTCAAGGAGGAGACACTGAAGTGACCAGTGCTGTCCGTCTACCGTACTCGGACACGAGGCAGTGGTAGAGTAAGTGAGGAGACACTGATGTGACCAGTGCTGTCCGTCTACCGTACTCGGACACGAGGCAATGGTAGAGTCAGTGAGGAGACACTGAAGTGACCAGTGCTGACCATCTACCGTACACGGACACGAGGCAGTGGTAGAGTCAAGGAGGAGACACTGAAGTGACCAGTGCTGTCCGTCTACCGTACTCGGACACGAGGCAGTGGTAGAGTAAGTGAGGAGACACTGATGTGACCAGTGCTGTCCGTCTACCGTACTCGGACACGAGGCAATGGTAGAGTCAGTGAGGAGACACTGAAGTGACCAGTGCTGACCATCTACCGTACACGGACACGAGGCAGTGGTAGAGCCAAGGAGGAGACACTGAAGTGACCAGTGCTGACCATCTACCATACTTGGACACGAGGCAGTGGTAGAGTCAATGAGGAGACACTGAAGTGACCAGTGCTGACCATCTCTTGTACTTGGACACGGGGCAGTGGTAGAGTCAATGAGGAGACACTGAAGTGACCAGTGCTGACCATCTCTTGTACTCGGACACGAGGCAGTGGTAGAGTCAATGAGGAGACACTGAAATGACCAGTGCTGACCTGGAAGGCTCTTGCTGGAATATACTTACTGTCTTCATCATCTCAGGGTGAGCATGGCTGCGCAGGAAGTTGATTATCTGTGAATGAAGACACATACATGCTGTTACGTAGTGTTCCTATTCACACAGACTGGATACGAGGTGAGGTGAGGTGAGGTGAGGTGAGGTGAGGTGAGGTGAGGTGAGGTGAGGTGAGGTGAAATGGGGTTTAACGTCGCGTCCAAGATTATTGCACTTATATAGCGACGTGCATGTACGTGTGTGTGTTTGTGTGGCTGCTTGTACTAGTCCGGACTGATGCCGATTTATAGTGCTAGCTCACAGAGATACCATGCCACAGTTTAACATGAATACCTCACTCAGACACAGTATACTGACTCCGAGCCGACCAGTCCTTGTTTTAACCCCTTTATGCCGAGCGCCAAACAGGGTAACAACAAGTACCATCTTTTTACGTCTTTTGGTATGAAGCGGTCGGGGATCGAACCCTGGACCTTCCGCTCTCCGGGCGGACGCTCTACCACTAGACAACAGGGCGGTCCGGGGTAAGTGAGAGAGTGTTGTTCTACGCATCTACTGGAGGGGGGAAGGTGGGGGGGGAGGGGAGTTATGGACTTCATGTCCATAAGCTGTACTATTTATTGACTCAAATACAGCAAAGGTATTGAGGTTTTGTTTGTTTTTTGTTTGCTTGTTGTTTAACACTGCAAATAATCAAGTCTGGACCAGACAATCCAGTGATTGACATCATGAGCATCGATCCACGCAATTGGGATACGATGACATGCATCAACCAAGTCAGCGAGCCTGACCACTCGATCCCGTTAGTCGCCTCTTACGACAAGCATGGGTTACTGAAGACCTATTCTAACCCGGAATCTTCACGGGACATGTGGCATGACAAGTGAATGCTTCAACCATGCACTACCCATCACCCCATGTTGGTCATAGGTGAGAGTAAGGAAATCTGTGACATGATAGTATTTAGAGGACATAACAGAACATCTTTGTGACCATCATGAGATATTGCTTACAGTATTTGTTGAGTGTGACTCGTCGTGTGTGAGCCTGTCGTCACGAGGTATTTACCTGCTCGGCTGTTATTCCCCTCGTAAGGGCCGCCCTGACACTGTCTCGGGACAAGTTGGCAACAGCCATATTAGGGAATCTGACAACAGAGCGTGTGACATAGAGAGAACTTAAAGATCAGCTTAAAGAGGAATAATTCTGTGAACGGTACTGTACAACCTGAAATGCATTTGCCAGAACATACCTTGTTATACAACTTACCTGTATGTTTGACATCTTACCTGCATAACATTTGATAAATTACCTGTACGTTTGACAACTTACCTGTATAACATTTGATAACTTACCTGTATGTTTGACATCTTACCTGTATAACATTTGATAACTTACCTGTCGTTTGACAACTTACCTGTATAACATTTGATAACTTACCTGTATGTTTGACAACTTACCTGCATAACATTTGATAAATTACCTGTACGTTTGACAACTTACCTGTATAACATATGACAACTTACCTGTATAACATATGACAACTTACCTGTATAACATTTGACAACTTACCTGTATAATGTTTGACAACTTACCTGTATAACATATGACAACTTACCTGTATAACATTTGACAACTTACCAGTATAGAGTTGGCAACTTACGTCTATGAAATTTGACAGGACATACCTGTATGAGAATTGACAGAACTTACCTGTATAACATTTGACAGAATAAAGCCAACAGTGCCGTCTGTAGTGGAGAATCTAAAATGACAAAATGATGAAGACTAGACTGGTATGTTTGTACCTGTGGAGTGAGTGAGTGAGTGAGTGAGTTGGGTTTAACGCTGCTTTTAACATTATTCCAGTTATATCACGCGTGTCAGCTTAATGTGGGAGGAAAGCCCCAAGTGATGCAGGTCTAAGACATTTACCACTTCGATGAAACCCACGAGCACGGGTATGTTGCTGACAAGCCTAGAAAATATAATTGTGGCGAACCGGGATTCGAACCCACAATCATAGGATTCTGGTGTGCCTAAAATAAACAAA